TTTTNTTTTTTTTTTTTTTTTTTTTTTTTTTTTTTTTTTTTTTTTTTTTTTTTTTTTTTTTTTTTTAACTAAGGGGTCCGCCCTCTTGCCGCTACGCGGCCCAACCCCCGGGGCGCTGCACACCCTTAAAAGCCACTCCGCAGCCAGCGAAATCGTCGAAAGCGCCCGTTGGCGAAAGAAAAATTTTCCGCCTAACAATATTCTTATTGACTTTCTGTTTACTCTGAATTTTGATTCCTTTTTTGGAAGTCGATCTTTACAGGGCCACATACAGCTGTAATTTACAGGTTTCCACATCACAGGTTCAAATAATGGAGAAAACAATGTTGCCATTTTGCTGGATCTGACAATGGTTACGTGATTTAGGAATTTTATACCATCAATTTTACTTTCAGCCCAAACAAATGATCCCCCCCCCTTCCCTTCAGACGTGATATTGTATATTGCTTTAACTGGTTTTATGTCGACAATTTCCGTTTTGTGGGTTCGTTCATTTTTCTTCCAGTAGCTTCTAACCCCGCGTAATTTTGAGAAGGGACAAGAAGGGATACGAGCACAACTGAATATGCGTTGTCATGAAGTACCAAGTGCGGAACAAAATGTGCGGTTACACTGACCGACGGACGTAGCGTCGTGGCAATCACGTGAGAGCGATCAAAATTTGCTTATGTTGGTCTCTGTATGACCGACCAGCTGAACCAGTTCTAATTACACTCTTGCAACAGCCATCCTTTACTCTCTCACTCTCCACTTTTCCGACGTAACCTCGTCACACTACTGCCATTCTTTCAATCGGAGATTTTTTCCTCCTGTCATTTTCATAGCATAAAAAGATAATAATAATTAATGTATTAAATGGCCACAAGACAAGACAAAATACCGTACTCCGCACTACCCAAAAACATCATATTGAGCAATTGACTGAAGCATTAAGAAGTGCTCTGCAAACATTTTGGGGCAACAATCGTTTAAAAATTGTATGCCAACTCGGATTTGTGGGATGTGCAGTGGTTCAAAATTTGATGTTCAAAACACTTAACATGAAGAGAAATTCGAGTGTCCAAAATTCTTATATGCCATGTTTAGTGCTTAAAAATATCGGAAGTTTACGTAACTTAACCCTCTTCATTTTAACGAAGTGAACTGATCCGCTCGTAACTTATCCTCACTTATTATTCAGGGCATTAGAGCATTTTCCACAGAAAGCTCAAAATCCAATTTTTCAAATTAACTTGACAAAATCGCTCCACTGAAAGCGTGTTGAGAATAGAGGAAAAATTAATGATAAATGCCACAAATTCACTATGAGAGAAAGTACTCCTCAAAAAAACACCGAGGATGAAAGTATCTCGAATGATATTAAAATTCGGTGTCGGTGTTTAAAAATTTATTTAGACTTTTTCTCTGAAAAACCCCTGCTGACGACAAATTCAAGAGAATTCTAAAAGATTAATTTTGTTAAACCGAAAATGAAGCGTTTAACATGGTTGGGTATTATTGCAAATTATGTCTTAAAAGTTTAACTCATATGTTTTTGAAAGCACTAAAGAGCGATTAGCAGCCAAAATTGATTTTAATCGCTGCACTGTGCAATTTGAATTTCCACCCCACGGCTTACTTTTCCCTGATTTCATCGCACGCGAAGGAAAAAACTTCGTGCATAGGACCCGAAGTTGAGATCTCTGAAGTTTTCTGATCACGCATCCGAAAACTTGAGGTCGAGCTGCCCAAGTTCGGGTCAGACATCGAGGCACCTCGGTATGTACCGGAGTACTTCATATGTGTGACCCGAACTTCGGCAGCTCGACCTCAAGTTTTTAGATGCGTGATCCGAAAACTTTAGAGATCCATATGACCTCAACTTCGGGTTCCACGCACGAACTTTTTTTCTCCGTGCATGTATATTTTAAACTTCGCAGCGTTCCGATGCGATTAAGCCCCTTTGACTCTCGCGCCTTCATGTGAATGTGTAAAAAAGTGTACAAAAAATCCGTGACTAAAGGTAGCACTGAAATGAAAATGTAAAGATGACCGATTCCGGCACCTTCCTCCATTTTCCTGACCACATTGGAATACCCCTCCAGACTGACTCCCTCTCTCTCCAGATTTCCACGTTCTTCCCGTTCTCTTCGAATATCTCTCTCCTCTTCACTCTTCAGTGCCTCTGGAATAGTCCAAACGTGACGTTCTAACTTCTTAACGAGGAGTATATAGTTACAAGTTTCGTTTTATTGGCCACCCATGTGGTAATTTGCTGCAAAAATACGCGCTCAGCTTAGCACACTCCCGCAGGCTGAGTGTGACTCATTGTTTTTTTTCGCACCAGACTTTGCGCGTGCGCCGATCTCGGGGGAACAGCTGAGCTCTTTGCGCATACGGAGGTGCCTCCGTATGGATCAGCGTAACTGCATCTGGGTCCAAATGTGTTTCGTGGTACGCTTATTCAATCAGAAATCTCCTGCGATCAGTTTGTCGTTGGTTTGCATCTTTAATTTTACTCTCTGCCCAGACAAGAATCAGAATCTGCCAACAAGCACGCACAGCCCTCTCTAGGACGAATTTTAAAATGAAATTACACGTTCGAAACACGTAGGATGAAGCTCTTACACGTGTAAGGAATTTGCAATTTAAGTACTAATTGCTTTGTAAAATTTCGCAAGAAACACATGATGCCACTGGTTTTGTCTGAAACGAACTCCAAACCTCAAAAAAAAAGCTCTCAAAGTTGAGGCCGTGGTGGAGGGGGTATCCCGCGATAAATTACAGATTGACCTCTCATGACAATCAATTAAGTTTGTTCAAAGAGCAATGAGTCCCCATAAATAAGGATGATTCATGGCTGAAATTACCCGAGACGATTTGCGAGGAGTCTGCCGTGGTGAAGCATGAACTTCAGTGAGCGGTGATTGTAGCATGCTCCCGACCTCCAGCAACTATTTTAACTCTCCGGAGATGAAATTGCATATCCACTGAGATGAAGGAGTTTAATGTGTATCCGATCATTGATTGCGTCCTGGCGTCGGTACCTAATTGAAAACCGCTGACAACTCTCTTTGCTGTCACACCCTTGGGGCATTGTTTAAGCTCCTCGGAATTAAAGCTGCACACCATGCAAAAAGGAGAAACTTTCCACGAATCCGCGACCATCAGTTGCCTAATACTTAGTAACCTGTGGCGTTGCAAACTACCTATCATACTTTATTTTCTTCATGGAAAACTACTGAACGTCATTTTTTTTTGAAATTTCAATGAGTTGTCTTCTCTCTATGGAACATATCCTATGAAAACTTTAAGCCATAATGTTGGTGCGGTCTTCTTCTAAAAAATAAAATTGTGATAGAGATTTCGAAACACCGCAACCAAGATACGCATTTTTGCAGTTCCACCGACCCACAGTGCGGCCGTCTGTGGACAAAAATAAGAAATTCACAATTCGACATCCACATTTTTTTTTCTTTTTCTTTGAAGTTTGTCATCTTAAAGATATTTCCGACTCACAATGATGGTTCATTTTCAAATTTTTCGCTCAAAACTACTTCAAATTGGGTAGAGAGTGGGCGGAAAATGGATCGAGAATCACTGGTCCATTAAAAATACGCAGGAAGAGGACGACAACTTTAAATGAAGATTCTGCTTGAAACGCAAAACACTCTCGGCGGTCTACATTTTCTTAATCCTCACATATCCAACTTCGGTTCCACAAAAAAGATTTTGCGACTATCAGAGATATTTAAAGTTAAAGTTTGGGTGTTTCTCGTTGCTTTTACATCGCTAACATAGGGCTAATTCGAGGTTTTCAACTTCAAGTGCATTTTCTCATACGCAAAAAATCCTGAGATATAACATTTCCTCATTTCCTCGAGTGTTTTACTTTGATAGCGCCATAGGATTTTCCTATGTCGGTGCTACTATCTTCATTATTTAAAATTAAGTGTCTTTTACCGATTTTTGTCCGCATCGTCCATACACCGGGAAAAAAGTGAAGTTAATTTAACATTCTGGATGTAAAAAAAGTGTGCGAGAACTCACAAAGTGTTTACATGAGTGTGTCAAATTACCCGCTGTGGCAGTTAGTTTTACATCTTGACATTGCTAAAGTAACTACTGCAGCAGTTAATTCAGCATTTTGTAAGTTCTAACACACTTTTTTTTTTTACATCTAGAATGTTTTATCAACTTCACTTGTTTTCCAGTGTAAGGATGCCGCACCCTGCGTCGTCAAAATGCGTCCTGTTAGAGTCCCTTCATACTGAGAGTGAAGACAACACCCCTCATGGAGTCACAAACGGGAATAAAGATTACACAAATCGGCAGTTTTTCGTAATCTTTGATCGGCTCATTCTCAAATTCCTTCCTTCGTTCCTTCTCCCATTCCGTTTATTCCTTACCAAACCCGTTATTCCCCGATCCATTCTACATTATAATCTTTGCAATCGGTGAAAATGTAATCTGTATTCCCGTTTGTGACACTGTGGAGGCCTAAAATACGGGAACCAATCGGAAATGGATTCACATTGTCTTGACTCTCAGTATAAAGGGACTCAACGTCCTGTTTGTGTCTCTGTATGGTCATTCACTAAAAAAAATTTTCGGCGTTTTTACCGAGGTCCGTTGGTACCTTTACCATCTCACTGTTTTTACCAATTATTGGTAATTATACCAAGAAAGACAGGTAAGCTTACCTAAAAACCGGTATTTTTACTGTTTTTTTTCAGGTAAGATTACTAGAATTATTGGTAATCAATTCCTGGTAACTTTGCCATTTTATCTCGGTAATTCTACTACAGTAGATAAAAAATGTTGGCGTTCTTACCAAGGTCCAGTAAAGTTACCGAGAAAGTTCAAGTACCAATTCTATAAATGGTAATTTTACCAAGAAAAAACTGGGATCAAATAGAACCCTGAATTCTTGGTAATTTTACCCTTTTCTTAGTAAATACACCGAGATTTCTTTTTCAGTGTTGGTCATGTAATTAATTTGTGAACTTTTCTGTGTGCAGATCCATCGAGCGGATACGACAACGGGGATTCCGGGACGGGGGCCTTCGACCAGACGATCGACGTGGGGCAGGAGGACGTGGTGAACGAGGCGACTCCCGCCGACGGGCACCGATCGCGGACCCAGGTCCAAGTCCAGGCCGACCAAAATAACTTCCTCCCGGAGGACTCCTTGCACCAGTACCCGCACGAGCCCCACATCTACTACCACCTCTCGGCTACCCCCTCCTCCACCACCGCCTCCACTACCTCACCCACCGATCACTTTACTCACAACAATGTCTACGATGGCTCCCCGCACTACACCGATAGATCGTGAGTTTTCCCTCTCTTATGATTTTACAATGTGTTGAACACGTAGATCGATGATGGAACTACCTAACCAAGCTGTCAGAAATTGTAGTTCCGAATTGTAAAATGTAGTCCAATTATTCTACTGCATTTGGGTGTCATATATCGACGGTGAAAGTCGGCAATCACATAACTCGATTTGCGACGTCGCAGACTTCCTGTTATACTTTATTCTTTAAACGGAAAACTACTCAACGGTAATTCCTTAAAACTGCCGTGATTTTTCTTCTATGTGCGCGGAAAATTCTGCAAAAACTGCAAGGAATCATGTCCATTTGTTCTCCTTTAAAAAAATAACATAGTTGCGGAGATTTTCAGACACCGCAAACGAGTTATGTGATTGCCGACTTGCACCGTCGATATGTTGCCTATCTACTAATTGAAGGGGCTCCACTTGTTGACATGTATTCCATTAAAATTGAAATAAGTTGCAATTTTTTCCGTTTATCAAAAATTGCCTGCCTCATTTTACTGATTTACTGATCGTTCGGAATCGACATGTATTAATCAAATACAATTGCATTGCATTTCTATCGTAAAAAATTGCAATTTTTTACGCCGTGCAACGTTACCTATTACATAAAGAAGATTGGAGGACAAGGTGCATGAGTGCATTTTTAAAAAAAATTGAGATATTAATGAGTTCAAGTACAACTAGTCTCAATGCATGTTCTGTGAGAAATTCTCTCCCAAACTCCAATTTTTAAGAACCAAAAAGTCAGTTTGAACTTTCTTTCTGCCACTATATAGGATCCATTTAATTTTGAAACTTCAAACTTCTCGAAACAGCAAAAACTGCACATATGCGCCTCGTCCTCTAAGCCCCTCAAAACAGAATAGCGTCGATTCCTGATATTACTACATAAACTTTGAAATGTTTCTGCAACACCGAGAACAACAGTAGTTCGCTACACAGGGCTATATACGGGGTGAGCTACATAACTCAACTTAATCATTATTTATCACATTTTCCCTGCAGGATTCCAATCTATCAGGAGAAAGTTCAGGACCCGATCTCCTCAAGACCACCATCCCCGAAACAAGAAAAGCAGATCTCACCAACTAAAGCGAGTTCCTTGTCGCCGAAGCCTTCCTCAACCACCTCGCCTTCCTCGACGGAAACCGCAACCAAGCCACCGTACTCATACGTGGCCCTCATCGCGATGGCCATCCAGCACTCGCCTCTCAAAAAAGTTACTCTTAATGAAATCTATCAGTATATCATGAAATCCTTCCCATACTACAGGGACAACATCAAAGGCTGGCAGAACTCCATACGGCACAATCTCTCCTTGAACGACTGCTTCTGTAAAATACCGCGAGATGATGCTGGTGGAAAGAAAGGGAATTTTTGGATATTGGGTAAGTAAGCCTTGCTTGAGGCCATAATGTAAAGGAGGGGTATCGGTAAGGGCCGTATTTGATCCCTATCTGACCGAATTAGCACAGATTGCAATAATTAGCGGTTGCATAGTAAACATATTGCAATTCCACTGAGTGTTGTGTATGTTGCCTGGCTCCTATTTGAAGGGGCCCCGGGTATTGAAACTTATTGCAGTAAAATTGAAATAAGTTGCAATTTTTCATTGCATTGTATATTGCCTATCTTTCTGACACATGAAGCTCATTTTGTTGATTGTTTGAAATCGGCGTAAATCAACTGAATGATATGTAAAAATATTGCAATATTTAATGGTAAAAAAATTACAATTTTATTGAAATCAAATTGCAATTTAATTTTAATAATTCCGTTGCACTGTGCTACTTTTGGGGATGAATTTCCTCAACTCAACAATATTTGCTTATTGAAAGTCCGTATTTTAAGGAATGCATCATGATATGGTCATTTTCGATCTTTTTCCGGGTCTATATAATGTCGACCTAATCATGGGTCTCGATTCAGAAAAAAAATGCGGGTTTCGAAGGCTTAACGTCAAATGCCAAAAACCCCGTATATTTCGCCCAAATTGGCCTACAGACCCATATTTAGGCCAGTAATAGACTTCAAAAGAGACCGGAGATGACCAAATCATTATGCATTCCAGAAAAAGTAGACCTCTGACGAGGAAAAAATTGTAGAGTTTATAGGAGTGTCGGCTTGGATGGGCCCAAAAACAGCCCGTATCGATACACCTCCTTTAAAACTGGAAAATTAAAAAAATAAAATAAAAAAAAACCCGCAAATGAGTTAGTTTGATTTCCCGAAAATCATTATTTCTGGCTGATGGATCGACTGGATTCTTGTATTATTACTGTTGATTTTCGTGCTGAAAATGCCAGTTCTTTCTCTTTCTGAACTCTATGAACAATTCTGAATTCTATTTTATGTGGACAAAGAACAAAATCAAAAAAACTGCAATTAACTCAGCCTTGAATTTACGAGAGCTTGTTGGTTACCTTCTAGTTGGTTGCCAACTTTTATCGACGATGATTTTTCATGCAGTTCATTTTGTTGCAGATCCAAACGCTGATCCACTTTTTGAGAATGGAAATTACAAGCGAAGGCGCAAGCGGAAATCCCAAAACGCTGCTAAACTACAAAATTCTAACTACCACTACCAATTAACCAGTAATTATACGCGTTTTGCCCCCTACCATCCCAGGTAAGTTACTAATTTTTCATCAAACTCTTTGTCGAGTAAATGATAGCTATAATAGGCTCGTCAGCCTCAGCATAATGTAAAAAAATGCATGCAATACCTTTGAGTACTGCGTATATATCTTGCAGAAAAGGGTATCTGATGATGTCATCAAGGCACCCATTAATGTCACCCCTCAAAACACTCATTGATGACGCACCCGTTGATAATAACGTTATAAAACTAATACAAGATCGATATTTTCCCCATAAATTTGAAAATCGCTGATGCAATTTCAGACATTAAAAAATCCAAACAAATTAAATCTAACTTTCATCAGATAAGTAGTAATTTTACGTAAACTTCCGTAGAGTGATTTTTTAATTGTTTGTCAAAACTATTTTTACCTATCTCAAATAATTTGTTTCATTTCATTTTTTAGCATTGCTCGCTTGCCCGCTCTTCCAGAAGTTCAAGGCTATCAGTTTGGCTACGCTCCTATTGATCATCAAAACTCATACTCAGGATTGCAATCTCAGGTAAAATAATCCTACCCTCAGTCCCTCACCAATTCAAATCGCACCTATTTTTTAAGATTTCTAGATTAGACGGAACATATTCAAAAAAATTTAGAGCAGAACATTGCGTTGGGTTTTTTTGTGGGTAAAAAACTCCCAGGACTCCTCACCACACGCTAAATATCTACTGCTTATGTATTGTATATTTGCCTCGTCAAATGATCAAAGCTTTACTGAAATCAGTCGGTGGTTTTTAATTTCGTCAAGCAAAATCACCTTAAAGCCCTAAAATTAAATTCTACGGGGATGAACTCAAAATTTTGCAGGGAAGAGGCCTCTGAATTCCCGTGCGCTGTGGAGAGGTGCTTCTTCTTGAATGTCTCCTGGGTGCGCTATCTCGGTGATTTTCTTCGAGAACAGGGGCGGATTCACCTACTTGCCGCCCATGGGGCGCCTTTATTTTGCCACCCCCTTCTGATTCGTTTTGAAACATCGATACAAACCATAAAAGGAACGTGCCGGAGGAGGAGGATAGTACGCGTTTACTCGTGTTGGGCACATTCTTTGTGAAAGCCCTGTCAACACTAGCAAAAGTTCACGGAACTTTGCGCAAAAATTAAGTTCCGTAAACCTTTCTGTGTGGACGAGGCCTTTTATTTATAAGAAAAGAACGAAAAATTATGAAAGAAGAAACATGAATGTGGTTTGATGATTTTAATTTCCGCCACCGCGCCAACCGCACTGTGTTTGACGCAATGCTTGAAGTATCCCTACAGTCTTGTAGGCGCTATGCGTTTCACGCCGACCGCTGCTGACCCAGCTGACCGCACTACGTTTGACGCGATGCGTGAAGTATTCATGGAGTCTTGTAGGCGCTAATATGTTTTACATGCTGACCGACGCGCCGAGGGCTTCTCCTTTTCATCTCAAGTCCTCGTCATCATTGCTCTCTGCGCCGCGTCGTTCCGGGCTAAACTGCGTGTTTGGTTTCTCTCTCAACTAGACTAATGAAAGGATTTGTCTCTTGTAAGCTATTTATTACTTTCTATCTTCGTATGTTGAGCTTTCATAAGTTTATATTTTCATTTATTTTCCAGTTACCAAGTCACTTACAACCTGTCCAAATCCCAAATATGAATGGTTACAATACGGACAACCTATCGAATTTAACAACTAACTGCGCCAACGGTCAACGGCATGACGATTTCCTAAGTCAGCGGCAGCTGTCACAACACAACCGACATACGTACCACTCTCCATATGCATGGACTCGAGAATGTGAGTATTCAAATCGTGTGAAATCCCGCATTTCTTTATTTTAAACTAGAGTATCGGTTGTGCAGCTCAGCGAATAAGAAAGCGTAAAACTCAAAAGACAAGGTGAATGAAAGACTCTATCGTAATAACTGCAAATACGAGGAAAGGAGTTTCAGAACTATGCAGACTTCAGCTCGGCGATTCCAATATATTGGCAACGCTGTCAATACTCAATTTAAATCCATTGAATATATCGATTTCAAGTGAGACAGGCTCGCCTAGAATCGATTGTTTAACATACATTTCTCTATCCCCTCAATGTAAAAGTTAAAGAACCTGCATCTAATCACAAAGAGAATAAACATGGTTGAATTTTGCCAACGCTGTTACCTGCTTTCAAAACCTTGAAATATTATTAGTGAAGCAAATAGTAGCTTGAAATTCCTCTCCAATTTTCCAAAGAGTATTAGGAAGTATTTTGTATGATAGACTGAAAATCGATTTTTTTTATTTTTTATTTTTTTTATCCATAAATTGATCTTTGAACAACTTGAATTTCCCCTTAAAGAAACGTTTTGCCTGATTTCATCACATAAATAGGTATACGGTCGGTATCTGGAAAATCTCGGTATTTTTTGGCCGTAGCATTTGTCGAAGTCGGATTTAAGCTATGTCACTTCGCGGTCCTCATACACAACATACGCCCTGACTTGTATGATGCCGCACCATATCTTGACACCTAAATACAACTATTTCTGCTCCAAGACCGTCGAATTGCATAGACTTAAAAATGAAGGCGACCTGCCGTTATCGTGTTTATTTTATTTCGTGTTATTATTATGCGTTTGCAATTTTGCATGTAAGCGCTGGTGAGAAACCACTCTAACAAGACTTCGACAAACTGATATGAAAAATAATATGACGTGAATTCCTTTTTATGATTCCAGTTGAAGGTGAAGAAGATCCACTTCTCATAAAAAGGACCCATGGCCTCATGCCTCCGGCCTACTCTTCGGGAGTGGGTTTTGGTTTCAACACCCAGCACATGCCCTCGGGTAGGCCATTCTCAGGGGTCAAAGACGAACCTATACTACTAGATGGACACGGAACTAATAACATCGCTGGCCTCAATATCTGATAAATAAGTTTGGATACATCCTATCAAAATCCTACCACTTTAAATATACTCACGTATTTTTCGGCGGGTAAACTCTTTCTAGGATATCCTCCGGCTATCCCATAAACTTTTTTAAATGAAATGCATAGACACTTGAGTTGGCACGAACAGTGCAGATTCTATCTTAAAAGACGCAGATATTAGACGCATGTTAGTTGCGCACTCATAATGCCGGTTTAGGCATAAGGAGACGAATTTCAAGATCGGCGGATGTTCAATATTCAGTTGTTTTGCATATTATTCACTGTGAAGGTAATATTTATTTTAAGAGAGTGAAAATCGAAGGACTCAGTTTGATTCAGTTTAAAAAAATAAGTTCCGGAACAGATCGAGACTTAGCTGAACTTCATGTTACTTTTGAAAATAAAATGATACTTTTACCAGTGGTATATGACGGACAATTAAGTCATTCATGATCAATTAAATTTTAAGTCCTACTGTTCTTTGGGTACGAATTCTTTTTGTAATTATTACCTCATGTTTTATAAATGTACATACTATTACTGTTTACTACCTACCTTTTTAATACTTAAGAGACGAGATAAGATTATTTATATTTATTTATTTTTCTATTCAAGTATTGATCCAAGTCATTTGAACTGACCTGTGCAATGTAATTTTTATTTTGTTTTTGGTTATATTAAATATTTTTTTGGTATCCAACGATGGTTCCTCCTATTATTTAACGTAGTCATAAGTTTAGTAAGAAAGTAGATTCTTAAATATGAAGTTTCGGTAAACTGATAAAAATAAAACGAAATAAGCTGGCAAGGCTATGTCGTGATACAAATCGGTAATAGCTCACTTCATCGGATACGCTTGAATCTAGTTACGATGTAAGAGAAAATAAGATGCGCCTTTAGTCAGTGTCCAATGTGCGATTCTCATTTTAACTCTTGGATGCAACTATTCGGGCTCCGTGGATGTCAGTGTTGCATACGCAGGGAGTTGAAGGCGTTTTGCCTGGCAAGGCACTCACCGCTTCGCCGGTGTTAACGACAGACTTTACTGCGAGGATCCAACATTTCAGAAGGGTTTCAATTCTTTGTTCACACTACAAAAATATCTCAGGAGTGAGATTAGTTAGTTGCATACAAGCGTGTGACGTCAGTATCTTTTATGCTTCAGTTTTGATACCGCGATGCGATGAACGATGATTTGTAGAGCAACTCTTTATGCCTAAGAGAGGTGTAAATGAAGGATTGAAGGTACTCTGTCGTTTTAGATCCTCGCCCTGAAGTCTGCCGCATAATAAAACGAGCCTTTCAGAGAGATTGGACAAGAAAGTTTTGACTAAAACTACAAACTTAGTTACTAGCTACACTAACTAACGAATTAAAGCTAATTTTTACACTTATAAGTGCGGCACTTCCAGAGAACAATCCTGACGAATCGCACGGTAAATTGAGCGAAAACACCGACCATTCGTCTTTCGATAAAATGAAATGCGACAGGAAGTCGGTAACATCACAAGCCTAAATGAACGTATCACAGGTGGCAGATAAAAACCACTGATCTCCAAAGACACAATTTTTTAGGAGAGTGAAAAAACTTTCCAACCTCCTTCCAAACACACAATACAAACGATAAACTTAAATTATCAATTATAAGGGATCAATAATCAACTATATTACTAAATTACTTAATTATTACTTTATTATTACTTAATTATTTACTTAATTATCAATTCTATTACTTTTTGAGTCCCTAAACGTTTTTTGCGAAATAATTTTAGCAGCCACGAAATACGGTAGAAATACGAATAATCATGTTTTTGAACCACTATGCAGTATACACATTAAGGACTTAAATCGGAAATAGGAACTAAAAACTAGAGGTGGGAAGTAAAAATTGGAATTTAAAGGTTAAAACCAGAAATGGGTAGTTAAACTTAGAGGTTGAAGGTGAACATCGGAAGTGGGAAGAGTCCGGAAATAGGAAGTGAAAAGCCAAAATGACAGAGAAAACGGAAGTGAAAAGTAAAAACCGATAATAAGAAATGCAATTACCGAGAGGGAAGTACAAAGCGGAAGTTGAAGGTGCAAAACCGGTAATAGGAAGTGATAATCCCAGAAATGGAAGGGGAGCGAACCGGAAGTGGAAGGTAGAAACTGAAGTAAAAATTGAAAATCGGAAGCTAAAAATAAATCCTGGCAATAGGGAGTAAAAGTTGGAAATGAGAAAGTAAAAATCGGAAGTGAGGATTGAAAACCGGAAGTGGCAGGGCCGTATTTACCTTCTTGCCGCCCATGGGCCACCTGTATTTTGCCGCCCCTACTCATTCGTTTTGAAACATCAATAAAAACCATCAAGTGAACGTGCCGGTGGGGTAGGGGTGCATAAGACGCGTTTACTCGTGTTGGACACACTTTTTGTGAAAGCCCTGTCAACACTACTAGCAAAAGTTCATGGAACTTTGCGCGAAAGTTAGGTTTAATAGAAATGAACGAAAAAATTATGAAAGAACAAACATAAATATGGTTTAATAATTTTAACTTCCGCCGCACCGCGCTGACCGAACTGTGTTTTTGCGCAATGCGTGAAGTATTCCTACAGTCTTGCGGGCGCTATGCGTTTCTCGCCGACCGCTGCTGAGCCGCACTGTGTTTGACGCAATGCGTGAAATATTCATGCAGTCTTGTAGGCGCTATGCGTTTCGCGTCGACCGCTGCTGGCCGCACTGTGTTTGACGTAATGCAGGGAGTATTCATGCAGTCTTGTAGGCGCTAATATGTGTTTCATGCCAACCGCCGCGCCGAGGGCTTCTCCTTTTCATCTCAAGTTCTCGTCATCATTGCTCTCTGCATCGCGCCATTTCAGGCCAAATTGCGTGTTTGGTTTCTCTCTTAACTCGACTAATTAAAGGTGATGTCTCTTGTATCACCAAAAGACGACAAAATTAGAAATTACTATACTCTCAGGAAATGAGAGTTTTTGTCGCCTTTTCTCGTTTGCAATTTTTTTTTCTGAATCCGATTTGTTTTATACCTACATTTAAAAAGTGCAAAATTTGCCGCCATGGGCCGCGGCCCATACGGCCACCCCCTAAATCCGGCCCTGGGAAGTGGGATGTGGAAATTGGAAGTTGCAGGTGAAAATCGGAAATGGGAAGTGGAACCCAGAAATAAGAGGTGAAAATCTGAGGTGGATGGTGAAAATTGGATTTGGGAAGTGAATTCGGAAAGTAAGAGGAAGCCAGAAGTTGAGGAGGGAAGCCAAGTATAAACCGGTATAGGAAGAGAAAATCAGGAATAAAAAGTGGCCGGAAATAAGAATTGGAAATCGGAAGCGGATCGTAAAATCTTTTTCTTCGACAGTTCGACAACCAAAAATTTTTTTGGTAAAATAATAAACCACCAACCTCTCAGGTCTCTTCTAGGGAATCAATGAAGTTGCAACATCGTATCAACACTAATGCGGTGGATACCTCTCAAACAATAAAATTTATACACCGTGGCAGTATCTAAGAGGGAATTGCCATTTGAAAAAAAAAGTTGGTTGGTCCCGGTCTCTGTTCAAGGCCGCCACCCTCCCCCCCCCCCAAAAAAAATTGAATGCTGTAGAAAGTTTGTCTTACTGATCGAAGAATATGTCCATAATTCGAAATCTTTAGGCGAAAACTTTCAACTTACCTTGAATGTCCAGACTTTTGAATTACCAATGATAGTTGAAGTATGAACATGAAACCTACCACAAATTTGGGTGAATACAAAGTAAATGGTGAAAAGAGAACAGTTAATCGACGGTGAAACTACCAAACCACGTATCTCGGTTTGCGACGTCGCAGACTTCCTGTCATACTTTATTTTTTAAATGAAAAACTACTTAACGTCTAGTCTTGAAAATTTCTGTGATTTTTCCTCTTCGTGCGGAGAAAATTCTGTGAAAATTTCAAAGAATGATATTGATTTGGTCGACTTCAAAAAAATAAAATGCGAGCGTAGATTTTTAAACACCGTAAACGAGATACGTGGTTTGGTAGTTTCACCGTCGTTATGTTGCTTCTAATTCATATCTAAATAAAGCTTACCGTGCCTTGTCCTTCTTGCGAGAGCATTCCAATGTCGCTAACCTTGCAAACATAAACGATCATCTTAACTAGTTTCACCTCTACTCGACCCAATAAACTATGAATTCAAGACGAAAATTACCGTCGCAAAGTTGACTTTATGCAAAGAATGTACCTAAGTTGCACAATCCCAGCAACATTAAAATGCTCTCAGTTCCTTTTTGCAAAATGCGATCCAATTGGTTGTTGCTCCAGTGACCATGAAAGTTGGCCCGAGCACTAACTTTTCGGGAAGAAAGCCTTTCCCCTACCTGGTTTCTCACTTAATATCAGCCCGAGTTTCGCATATCTTCCGTTTCACCTCATCGCAGCTTCCATCAAACCGCAATTGCCCGGAAACTAGGACCGCACATCTTATCTGATAAAATCGTTCGCCCTTTAGACCGATTCTGGAGGGTTAAGCTAGACCAGTCGATGAGTCAACTATTGATCTAATTTCATTACGTGAACGTAGAAGAAAAACGGGGTAAAAAATCACTAATGTGTGATCAATTTTCAAGGACAATTCTGTAATTTCTCCTACGATTTTAAATAAATTAAAACGCGTAATATCCAAAATCTAAGCTCAGATTCGGATTCCTCGTGAAAAACTGATGCGATTTCATGCATCAAATTTTAGAATAGCGTGAAGGAAAGAGGTTTAATGACGTAAAAAACACTAATGTGTGATCAATTTTCAAGGACAATTCTGTAATTTCTTCTACGATTTTAAATAGATTAAAACGCGCAATATCCAAAATCTAAGCTCAGATTCGGATTCCTCGTGAAAAATTGATGAGATTTCATATATCATATGTTACAATAGCGTGAAGGAAAAAGGTTTAACGACGCGTATAGATTCTGTCGTACTTCCCCTTTGAACTACGCCGCCGTGGCGCTTAGCGTTCGGTTTCGTCCCGAGGAATTCCTCACGATAAATTCTTATTCTTCCTCCTCCGCTGACCCACTGAGCACTACCCATGTTGCCATGTTGCATTCATATGCTCGAATCAGTATGTCTACGTTACGTCTCTTTCCTTCACGCTATGCTCGGGTATGATACATGAAATTGTATCAATTTTTAACGAGGAATCCGAATCTAAACTTCGATTTTGGGTATCACGCGTTTTAAGTCAAATTTTCCAAATTCGAAAATCTGAAATGACTGACGTGGCTTAAAATGCCATCATCTCGGCTCCTGTTCGATGGATTTTCCTGAAATTCGGTGTCAGGGTAGGATACATGAAATCGCATCGATTTTTTACGAGGAATTCGAATCTGAACTTCGATTTTGGGTATCATGCGTTTTAAGTAAAATTTTTCAACTTCAAAAATCCGAAATGACTGAAGTGGCTTAAAATGCCATCTCGGCTCCTCTTTGATAGATTCTCCTGAAATTCGGTGTCAGAGTATGATACATGAAATCGCATCGATTTTTTACGAGGAATCCGAATCTGAGCTTCGATTTTGGGGATCACGCGTTTTAAATCAAAATCTGTCAAAATTCAAAAAATTCGAAATTCGAAAATCCGAAATGGCCTAAAATGCTATCTCGGCCCCTGTTCGATGGATTTTTCTGAAATTCGGTGTCAGGAGGTATTTTTCGACAGGAAACTCGAATTTTAAATCAACTTTTTAAAATTCTCAACTCCAAAATGTATGGATGTGGCCTAAAATGAGCCCCGGTTCTGGCCTCCGTTTCTGTTCGTTAGAGCTTTGGGAACCGCGGGATCAGGGGTACCTTTCGACGGGAAACTCGAATTTTTAGTAGATTTTTGAAAATTCTCAAATCCAAGATGGCGGACGTGGCCTAAAATACTATGTCGGCTCCTGTTCGATGGATTTATGGCGGCCCCTTACTACATGCCTACTCTTGTATTTCTGTACAGCCGCAAAGTTAGGGTCAGGGGGCGCCTGACCGTCTATGGACCAGGTGGAATTTTTGTCCTGAAAATTTACCTTTAGACGGCAATTCTCTTTATATTTTGTCTATGGTTTTTATGCCCCCCCCTCCCTATCTCGCGGACTCTCTTTCTTTCTTGCCTCCTTTTTCCTTCCATTTCCCCCCTTCTTCCTTGCTTTCACTGCCCAACCTTGTTTCCTTTTCCTTTTCCCCCCCTTTTTTTCCCTCTCTTCTTCTTTCGTGGCGCCCCCCAAAGGCTGGCGCCCGTGTGCGCCGCACGTCCTGCACACGCCCTAAGTCCGGGCCTGCCGTCCACAAATTTGGGTGAATATAAAGAAAATGGTGAAAAGAGAACAGTTTATAATGTTGCTTCTAATTCATATCTAAATAAAGCTTACCGCGCCTTGTCCTTCTTGACTTTCTACTAAAATCCTACCTCTGCAGTTTCTACTGCACCTTTTTGCGGCAATTTAAATTAGGCGCTCTAGCTCTCTCAACAGAATCAACGTTGACCCACATGGCCGATGTAAACATAACCTCAATATTCGCCAATAACAGTAATAGTGTTATGGACATGTGTTGACAGTGTAATTGTAATCAAATTAATTTACCACTTCTTTGAATAAATGTGACAAAAAATGTTAAACAGACAGTTTGTATTTTAATCTTTTTATTTAATGTTCACCTATGAATCGCATGACATCCATTATTTGCTGATTGAATAGCAAAGCACCTCTTCGTTCGAACGCCACATTTGCGATGGATATTGTTGAAGATAATGTCGACGAGAATAACGATTCTCTCAATGAATGGAGTGAGTTTAACATTCCAGAGCAGATATTAAAAGCTCTTCTCGAAAAGGGTTTTACAAAACCCACAGTAATCCAAGTAAGTTCATCAACCTAATATCATTCCAGCTGCACGATTTCAGTGGTGCCCAATCTCTTGCATGAGTTTTTGACCTTTGCAAACTGCTTCATACTTGAAAACTAATAAAATTTAATGAATTGAAAGTTATCTTAAGGAAAGTTTTGCAATATGCCTAACCTTGCAATTTGTTTACATGAAATCGTGCTAGAAATAGTTTGAAATATCTACAGGTTGTTCCTAGATTGTTCACTTCTATACTCTTACTCCTTGGCTGATCTTCATTTATTATCATTCCATTTACAACATGATTCTAAGGAAACTAAAATATATGGAATGGATGGATGGCTCAATAACTGAGGTGCAGCGAGCAGGATAGGTACTTCTCTGTTGTAGTCGAAGAATTTCCGCTATAGCTTCATCCATTATGATCAAAACAAATGTATGGAATTCATTGAAACTTTTACTGAACATGTTGTGTAATTTTAAAATGCTCCAAACAAATAATTTCAGTAAATTCATTCTATAATTTTCCTTTTAAAATATTAACCACTTTGCTAGCATAGAAAATGCTGAAACTCTGTAACTGAGAAGTGCCCTCTCTGCACCCAACTCCTAATTGGATTACATTTTGCTATAAGGAACAACTATTTCTGGTCTATTTTAGAAACAACATACATGCCGTTTGTTTCGCTATGCAGATATGTGCTTTTATGGGAGAGCCAAAGATAGTGGTTCCTTTTTGCAAAATGTAATCCAATTGTACGCCTGCTTTGAAATCTACCTTATCCATCCTAATAAGAATCAGAGGTACAAAAAGAACCCAGACGCTGACTCTCTCGATTAAAGGATCCACTCTATAAAGTTGTGTTCGTAGCATTAAAATTTTTGAATTACCTACGTAATCATTAACGCTAAATATTTTTTGCTCTCTCTCTTTCTCTAGAAATTGTCTCTTTTACCTGCAATCCTTGGGAGAAAAGATATTCTTGGTGCGGCGGAAACAGGGAGTGGTAAAACTTTAGCCTTCGGAATTCCTGTCCTGTATGGAATTTTAGAATGTTTAAAAAAGGCTGAAAATGGAGAACTTGGTAAGTCTCTCACGTTTGCCCACTGAAATTCAGACCAAGAAACGTTTGTGGTATCACACACAATTTACTAAAGCAACACTGATCAAAAAAATGGAGGACCATGCCAGAAAGAAGGCGTATCTTGAGATATGCCTGTTTAAAAAAAACTCAAATTATTCGTGGACTTCAAAATTTCAGGATCCACCTAGGTTAAAAGAATTGGTTTTGGTTCCTCCAATTGGCCCACTTAGTCAGTTTTTCAGGACATCATTTCAAACTTTCTAGGTAATGAGTTTTTCTTGAAATGTTGTAACTTTCAAATAAACTCTTCTTCCAGCATAGTCCTCAATGTTGAACATTCCAAAAAATTTTAATTTAAAATTTGCAATTCTCTGCAAGGCAGTGTCAACCTCCAATCATACTGATAANGGGGGGGGGGGGGGGGTGTTCAGTATTGAAATTAAATGCACCAAGATGGCAGATTTTCTTTCTCACCCTGAAAGTGCCTACACATTTTTGACATGGATTTAAGTGCAGCTTGAATCTCATGTTATGATCGTTAAAACAAAATCAAAGACTTTGTTTGAAAATGCATGACCTTGAATTCAGTCATAAAATTTGACTTTTTCTTTTCCTTGATATGCTTCGAAGCTTATTAAAAACTACTACGGTTTTTATCCTTCCATACCATTAATTTTTTCTTCCTTCTTTTGATTGATCATCACAGATTTAGATGATGATTCCGATTTAGAAGAAGAAGAATTAGATGAAGAGGATCCTGATTCAGAAGACGATGGGGCAGTGTGTGTGAGAGCTTACACATTGAAAGTAGATTTTGAAAAACCCAAACATAAGTTATATGCCTTGATTCTAACTCCTACCCGAGAACTAGCAATGCAAGTGAAGAACCACCTAACTGATATTGCCAAGTACACAAACATCAAGGTAAGTTTGATATTAACTTGACGTTGCTCATCCACATCCCCTAGTATATTCACGCAGACATCTCATAGTGACATGGAGATTCAGAAGGGTTGTTGCACTTTTAACACTGTGCTATTCCTGTTTTTAGAGATCATATCTTTTCAATATCCATTTTTTTGAGAGAGATTTTATCGCATAATTTAAGCAAGAAGAGATCTGATTTTATTTTTTCTCTTTTAGATTGCTGTGATCACAGGAGGAGCATCCTTAGAGAAGCAAGAGGAGGCACTTAAAAAGGGCCCTCACATTGTTGTGGCCACTCCTGGCAGATTATGGGAACTTTTAGATCAAAATGAGCCTCATTTGTCTCAAGTCAACAACATCCGGTAACCATTATGTTAATTATCATTTTTTTCTAAAGAACAACTACTCTGCCTCTCCAGGAATTGTTTGCTGTGCATGACTACAAAGATTGGCTAATTGAACTGATGCTACAGATTTGGTACAAAAAGAAACTAGGCATTCCTCTGCAACCATGACAGCTGGTTGGTTTACGTTAATTTTCTTATTTTCTTGAAAGCAACAATTAGGGGTGCAGAAAGGTTTTGGCCTTCCCTAATCTAAATTTGTCTTCCCCCAGATTTGCTATCAATGTGCCTCTACATGAAATAACGCACTTAAAAGCTTCCTTCCCCACAAATAGCCTGCTTGAAAGACTTTCCTGAAACAGTCTCACTTCTCATCGTATTTGCGTTTTTACATTGGTTTTGATCAAGATGGGTCCAAGAAAAAAGAAATGAGAAAAAAAAGCCTTTCCCAATTTTCACAACCTTCTCCAATTCTCACGCCAGATCGCGTAATTGAGAATGTTCTGCACCCACAAAAAGGATTAGAAGAGTTGATTTCTTTTGGATTTGGTTCTAATAATTGTGCACTAGAATCTGAATATTCAATTAGGTTCAAGGTGATCGCTTAATGCCAAGACAATTAAATTTGAAACCTTACAAAGACTCAGATTCAGTAGAGAACACATACTATTGAACAAGATTAATAAATTAAATACTAAAAATGAATTTTAAGAACTTTTACTAACACTTGTCCTAGAAAATGTATCATGAAAATTTTTAAGTGATACTGCGAAAGTAATGGTTGCACATTTCCATGTCTTAATTTATGATGTTTCCATCTAACTCAATTTCATTTTGATTAATTTCAGATTTTTAGTCATTGATGAGACAGACCGTATGCTAGAAAATGCTCATTTCTCAGAATTGAAACAGTTGCTGGAACGCATCAATTTTGATGAGAGCAAAAAGAAACTTCGGCAGAATTTTGTTTTCTCCGCCACATTAACCTTAGTGCATGACCCTCCGAAGCATATAGTTGAAAAATGTAAGTATTACATTTGGTATTTGGTAAATGTTTTATGAACTTGTCTCTTTTGAATGTATTTATCACATTGAAAGTCCAAAAAGTCACATTAAAAATTAAACTAAATTATTTTTTCTCCCAATAGAACTGGCAAAAAAAAGTATCTTACTTCATTTCAGCATAAATGTATGTATGCATGCCTACTTATCATCTACATTAAGAGAGACGTCAACAGCAAATGAATAGCATTAAAAGTTCCAATCCTAAAATCCGCTCTATTTTGTGCTACTTGTGTCCACAATCCAGGCGCAGGTGCATTGAATTGCAGTCAAATCAAATCTAATAAACTGTTAGTCTTATTTATACTATGAAAACCTGCCTAAACTCTATTTGATTGGATGTACATATTTTCATTGGTTCAAGTCTCAGTCTGATCGGCTGAGTCTGGTCACTATAACTCCAACAAAGAAACACTTAAAACCTCAGCAGTATTAATAGCAATACTTACATTTTCAAACTGGATTTTCAGCTTTTGTTATAGTCTCTCTTCCTCTATCAATTTGCACCTTAATCACAACATTGATACAATATCAATTTTTAGGTCTGCGTCCCCTTCAAATATTTAGCTTTGAGGAGCTTTTGCTTCCACAAATTAATCTGTGAATCTTTTAATTTTAAATTTATTTTGTTAATCTTCTTAATTTTTAAATTGATAACCCGATTCAGAATATTTTTTCAACAGCTAAGAAGAAGAATAAACCTGCAAGGTTTACTCCTGGTCAAAAACTTCAGAAAATTATTTCAATTCTTGGAATGACAGACCCGAAAGTGATCGATTGCAGTCAGCAAACAGGTAACGCAAAAATTGCATGTAGTATTTTTTACTCTTATCTTATAGATAGCGATAAAAGTAAAAAACCTGCTACAGTAGAATCAACTTTTTATATTTAACTTGGTGGCAGCAAAAGCGGTTATCAATAGATGAATTAGGAGACAAGCGTTGTTAGTTGTCATCTCAAGACATGCCTCTACACTTTGTATAACTTCATGCATACTGCCCCTTCATACTTTCTTTGTTATATAATTTGGGGAACTTTGTTGGAACTAAAGACTGAAAATAAGTTTTTGAGATGGTTTGCGAAGATTTGAAACCTAGTTTGCAAACGAATCAAATTATCATGATGTTCGTGAGGTACTATCCACTCTACTGGCATATCCTAATTTTAAGACTGAAGCTAGGCACCAACACCTGATACCGTATCATTACCGTATCAAGAGAAAGTGTTTTTATTATTAATGCCATACTATCAAAGTCCCCACATGATGCCATCAAAAACCATTTGAAAATGAGGGCATAATGCGAAAGCCAGTTGGTAGACTAAAGAAATTTCTATAGCCATCTCTCATGAAAGTTAACTTGCTTCCAAATCAAAGGGGGCAAATCATTGCCCCTCATGAGTTTGATGTCATCAAGCAGAAGAGATCCATTCGCACAAAAAATGTTTATTTCCTGAAGATTAATATTGGAATTTACCTGATTTTTGTAAGAGCTCCTCTGTTCAAATATTTTCTCTTTCATAATGTCCCATTCTTAGTCTGTTACCTGTGTGTTTAGCTTTTAGTAAAGTGCACTGACTTCCGTTTATTTTATTTAGTTACTGCTGAAAAACTATTGGAGGCAAGAATTTTTTGCTCACATGAAGACAAAGACCACTATCTGTACTACTTCCTTTTGAGACATCCTGGAAGAACCATAATATTTTGTAACAGTATAGATTGCGTCTTGCGGCTAGTGAAATTCCTAAATATTCTAAAGCTCAACCCATTAGGACTTCATTCAAGTATGAATCAGAAACATCGATTTCAAAATTTAGAAAGGTAAGTACCTAACGAACGTCAAATTATTCAAATCCATAATTTGATGCATACTCACGGGAGGGGTGTAAGCACATTCATAGTTCCCAGAGAAAACTCAACCATTTTGAGGTGCATCATTTCTAAGGATTAGAAAGCTGTGGCTGAGTTTGACTGAGTCCCATGTATGTACTTCTATTAATACAGGACTAAGCGTCGAAAGTTGGAGACGTAGACTATTTCTCTAAAATTTTCCACATTGATAAACTTCCCTCTTGTAATTTATGTCCAAATCACAGATTGCAATAGATACAAGGGTGCACATGATGTCCAGTTTTGTGGAAAATTTGGGGTAAATTTTGAATTGAAAGGCAATTTCTAGGAGGAAGGGTGATTTTCTCTTTATTTTCTTTTTTTTGGCCCACTTACTCTTAAAGCAGCAAACTACTTGATATGTCAGAAGACTCAAGATAGAAAGGAAATCCTTCTTTTTTTTTGTTAGTCACCAAGTGCTTAACTTGTTCCGTTTTTTGTTGACTAATCGTTTCTCATCAAAACTTCTCTGTCTAATAGTTTCAAGAAAAATTCAAAAGCCATTCTAATTGCCTCTGATGTGGCAGCAAGAGGTCTTGACATCCCAGGAATAGAACATGTTGTACACTACCAGGTTCCGAAAACATCTGAGGTATGCATTCAACCTCTTATCCATGTGACATAACATCTAACCAAGCTATGGTGCAGGTACTATGCTATGCTGGAATTGTTACTCCTGCAAAAAAATCTAATAGAAATCTAAATGTTTTGCATTCTTCCATCTTCCAAGTTTTAAGTCTTGTACACTTCTATGTAACTGATTGGTGATGAGTTTTGAACGTTTTTGGTTTTTATTTTAAAAAGTAAAGATCTCCAACAATCATTAGCATGTGTCTGCCCTAAGATATACATGGAAAGGAGTACCTGACATAAATTTTAAAAAAGCAAAAAATTAATTTTAATGAAAATCGTTTGAATCATTTTGCAACCAGATATATCTTTTTTCTCATCTTTCCTCTGTCAGATAGTTGTCCTAATTTCCTTGTTTTTTACCAATTTGACTCTTAAAATTGAAGATTTTTCTTTATCTAAGCCCGCTTCCTGAGTGATTGATATTCACAGGTTTTTGTCGCAGCTGTATTCTTTTTTTTTTACAATGGTCACAGGGCCGACAAAAATTTTGTCTTAAACAGGATTTTGTCCTATCTATAGTTTGTCTTAATAAACTTCCAATGTACATCAAAAAATATTTTAGAACAGTAAGTACCCAGGCTAACTACTTCAATCCTCTCAAGCTGGGTTCCATTTGCTTTCTTTTCTTTTAAATATAAAATGAAAGGTGCTAGTTTCGCTTCACATTCAACTTCCAGACATTTATTATTGTTCTTTCTGTTTCAGAGCTATGTTCATCGAAGTGGGCGTACAGCTCGAGGCACATCAGAAGGTCTAACTTTAGTTCTCTGTGATCCACTTGAGATGCCAGATTATAATAAGCTGATACGAACACTAAACCGAAGTATGTGTCTTTTTTCAGAGAATAAGCATTTATCTTGCTCTAATGAAAAATGTTGATTCGTTCCTTTCATTACCATAAATTTGTTTTGTTTTTTTCACAGTTACTCAAACCCATTTTCCTAGAACAAGGCATTGCAATGTCGCCACATGCATTATATACTAGAATTTGAAAAAAAAAAACAAACAAAAAAAGAGAGAGAAAAATCAGCTAAGTATAAAAGTCAGCATCCAAGACACTTTAATGCTCGAAATGATGCTAAATCAATATAAATATTATATTCATTGCAACACTTCGTAATATTATCTTAAGTCAAAAACAATTTGAGCCAAATTAGTAAAAAAGTATTGTACCTTCCATCCAGATTTCATGGAAGTAGTATTGATGTGAAACATATTTTTGTGTATTTCATTGTTTTAATTTTGACTGCTTTGTCTCTTTTGTTTTCGCAGAACGTGATTTGCCTGAATTTCCTGTTGAAATGCATCTCTTCATGGCCATTAAAGAAAGAGTGAAAGTAGCCCATCTAATTGAAAGAGTGGAGCTCCACGAGAAAAAATCTAATAGCAAGATTAATTGGTTTCAAAAGGCTGCTCGAGAATGCGATATGATTGTCGATGATCCAAAAATGTATCCTTTTTCAAATCACTGTGCATATTGTTTTGTTGTAAGTATGAAGATACTGAGCTAAAAAAGATGGAGAGTTGCCAGCTTCCAGGGGATCTCTATCATGACAGATTCCTGTGACGGTTAGGAGTCGCAGAGCACCCTAGTGCACTGTTAAAGCAACTAATACATACATACATACAGGGTGATCCAGACCACCCGTCCACCATATTTTTCTCGAAAACGGCGGAGAATTGAGCTTCGGGACCAAAACTTTCATAGGGTAAATCGACCCCAAAGAATCGAATGAAAATATTTTCAGCCCCCCAAAATGGCCCCTTGGGGGGGTTTTGGGGGGGAGCCCCCCCGTTTCTCGCAATTTTCAAATGGGAAGGGTATGTTTTGACTTTGGATTCGGAATCTACGGTAAAAAAGAAGAACATTTTGTTCTTTGCACTTTTTCCCTAAACCCCCATTTTTTGGAGTTATGGGGCATTTTTGGGGCAATTTTCAATTCGACGCTATAAGCGGCCAAATCATCCAAATTTCAAAATCTAAAAATCTCCTGAGAGGAGAGGTCAATACCTTTTTATTGATGTGCCACATGACCCCTGTTGCTCCAAAATTTTGGGGGCCATGACCCCCCAAAAATTTTGGGGGCCATGACCCCCCAAAAATTTTGGGGCTTTGGAGGGCCATGAGTCAAAAATTTCGAAAGGCAAGGGTATGTTTTGACTTCAGATTTGGATTCTACGCGAAAAGTTACGTAGAATTGATATGGCGCATGGCCTGTTTGCTCAAATTTTTTTTTACCCCTTATTTTGTCCAAAAATACACGGCTTCTTATGGGGAAATGGGGTTCTTCAGTAATTTGGAGCAAACAGGCCATGCGCCATATCAATTCTACGTAACTTTTCGCGTAGAATCCAAATCTGAAGTCAAAACATACCCTTGCCTTTCGAAATTTTTGACTCATGGCCCTCCAAAGCCCCAAAATTTTTGGGGGGTCATGGCCCCCAAAATTTTGGAGCAACAGGGGTCATGTGGCACATCAATAAAAAGGTATTGACCTCTCCTCTCAGGAGATTTTTAGATTTTGAAATTTGGATGATTTGGCCGCTTACAGCGTCGAATTGAAAATTGCCCCAGAAATGCCCCATAACTCCAAAAAATGGGGGTTTAGGGAAAAAGTGCAAAGAACAAAATGTTCTTCTTTTTTACCGTAGATTCCGAATCCAAAGTCAAAACATACCCTTCCCATTTGAAAATTGCGAGAAACGGGGGGGCTCCCCCCCAAAACCCCCCCAAGGGGCCATTTTGGGGGGGCTGAAAATATTTTCATTCGATTCTTTGGGGTCGATTTACCCTATGAATGTTTTGGTCCCGAAGCTCAATTCTCCGCCGTTTTCGAGGAAAATATGGTGGACGGGTGGTCTGGATCACCCTGTACATACATGAGGAAACTGTGGCAGGCAGTGCACTCTATCATTTCATGTGATATGTATTTAGGTATCCAGAGAGAGCTTCGTCCAAATTAAGTTCTCACTGCTTCTTTTACCAACCAATTGTAAAAGTCCTTTCTCAAACAAAATGTACCTTAAAGAGCGCTCTGAGATGCCCCCAAAATGTTGAAAAGTCGCTCAAATGCCTTTTAATGATAACAATTTGCATATTGCGTCACAGAACACTATTTGCAAAATATTGTTTTATGGAAATTTAATGGCCAGACTCAATACGGTCATTCACAATTTTGAGAACTCTTCTTTTTTTTACAGTTCTTCTGTTTATCGTGGACCCACGGACCTGAAATAGTGGTTACCTAGGTGAAGAATGCTGGGCTTTTTAAAGTTGTTATTAATGCTGTAAAAAAGTATTTTCTCGTTTTCCAGTGTTTCTTACTGAAGTATCTTCCTTAACTTGGTTTGTATTCAGACCTAAGCAGAGAGATATTCAAGAGGTTGCGGATAACAGAAGATTTCTGAAAAAGAAGCGCTCTGAGCTCAACCAGTTGCTGGCTCAAAAAGTAACTCTGCAAAATATATCAAATAGGTGCATTTCCACAACTGTGTTGACAGACGCTTCGAAACCAGTCGAGTCAAATACGTCTGCAGTAGACTTAATGAAATCGGTTATGGCCGGTAAGAAAGACCAGCTAAAAAGGAGAATGGCCAAAAGATTGTCACAAAATAAACCATTACGAAGGAAAGCCAAGAAGAAGAGGAAAGTGCCCTCCAATATTGAATGAGCCTTCGATATAATCGGCTGTGACTGAGCAAATGCAATTCACGATCATCAAGGATTCCAGAAACAAAAATATTTGATAAAGACCTCCATCGTTTTGCATTGGTGCCTTGTGGCTTATTGGTGTGCTGGTAAATTTCAGCTGCCTAGTTGATAGGCTCCAATACGCAGGCAAGCAGTTGATGACAATTTTTGTTCAATTGAATAACAGTTCCAACACAACTTTTTTTCTTTGAATAAAAGCGATTCAACAGTAAAAGTTTGTCTTTAGTCTCACTGTGATGCATATTTTTGCTACAACCTGATCTCTTCGCCTTTTTTTTTTTTGAGTGGAAATGAACACTTCATGTTCTAAAGCAGTAATGTTTGAGTAACCCATAGTCACCCAAGTGGGTCTAAATTTTGCAGGAATACTTTTTGTTGTTTTCATCAGCACGAAGAGGAAACCTACAAGCTGAAATGTTCTGTTAGTTTCAGCATATTAATAACCACACCCTTGTTTTGTACATAGATTCGGTAGTGTTGGGAGGAACTAAAAGATTTGTATTCTGCAAGAGGGCTGGAGGGCACTTGATCAGAGCTCGTTGGGGCCACTAAAGGTAAACCAAAAAGTGCCCTTACTGTACCCAACGCCTTGATCCATTGTCAACTCCTCAAAATGGATGGATATCGTAAAGGAATTTTAGAGACAACAAATGAGTAAAAAATATTTATTGATCTATTTGACAATCGCAGGCAGAACATTATTTTCCAAATATTCTTTAAATGTTAGGATTTTACATGCATCGTAATGAAGTAAATTTATACATCCGACTAGAATAAGTAGCTAAGATAGTTAAATCATATATGATAAAATCTAATAATTCAATTTTACAGTAGACAAGTACTTCAGTACCAACTTTTCTCTTTGTTCTTTATTCTTGATGGAGTTAAATTTTTATGGTCAGTAGCTGCCTAAGATCATGCTTGAAGCTTGATAGGTATTTTCAAGAAATCTCAATTAAATTAAGGTTCATCAAGGATAAACCCTGGAAAAGCTGCAATGAACTCTTTAAAAAGTCTAATAAAAAGCAGGTCAATTCTTATCTGCTTGAGTAAATTATGCCCAGTCTAGACAAGGTCTAACTTTTACAAAACTTGTTCAATGAACCAGATTTAACTCAGCTAAATTTAGTTTGGTGAAACAGCACAGTTTGACAAACGGAACAAAAAGTTTGACTGTCAGAAAGAGACTCTAATCTCTGCATCATAATCAGTCAAGTTTCAATCTTATGACGCTTAACTTATTTCAAAGTTTTTAACGATCCAAATTTGGGACAAAATAACAAAAATCCTGCTGTTACCTAAGAATGGATCAATCATGTTTTCAAAGGGTTTTTTTTTTCTACCTTTGATATCAGGGATACTATATACCAAACACTTTTTTTAGCCATTTCTAAAATACATTAAATACTTCAACAAAATTGAGTTTTCCAATCAATGTCTTTAAGGTTGTCCATTCATTTTTTCACAGACTCAATGAATGAGCAATTATCACTCCATTAGAAATTACAAAAGGTTCCATTCAAAGACTCTGATACTTCAATGATTCTAGATGATTATTGTTCTTCAGCGATTATAATAAGTATTTTGCAAGTAAAACCCTCACCAGAAAATATATGGTAATAAAAAAAATATTTGACACCCTGTAGTATTGAAGAAAAAAAATTCTGTAACGACTGGACTAAGGTGATTCATCCTGGGTTCTTGGCATAGTCGAACTGGCATAAGATATATTGGCATAGATTAAATAAAATATCTCAGCAGATTCAGACTTGTAAGACAAAAAGGGGGCAAAAGCCCCTGCACATTGGCTTGACATATTCTAAACCAAAAATATCGCAAAATCCAGAGTAATGAGGGCAAGATTTTTCTCAGGGGAAAAACTTCGCTTTCAATACAGAAATTGATTACTGTATCAAATATAACTTTCTTTCCAAGAAGAGTCCTGCTTCTATCACAATGAATTTTGTGATTTTTGGGTTGAAAATGTTTGTTCAGGCTTATGCGCAGGGGCTATCCTTCTTTTTTTGGGCTAAAAAGTCAAAATCTGTGAAGATTTTTTACTCACTTGATGCGTTACATTGAAGACCATTCAACAGTGCAGAACCAACAACGAATCATTCTCTCAAGTCCCAATCCTCATGGAATTTTTAAAAGTTGAAATATTAAAAAATATTTTTTAAACTGATAAAATATTCAGATATTTTGAGAGATCTAGAAAGTTTCGTAGCAAGCAGACCTTAGTAGTTTCTGACATCACAGAAAAAATAGAAAAAGTTTATAATGAAGAGCAGTTTGATTGAACATACTGCTAAAAAAAAGCAGCATTGGTACTTGAGAAAATAGAAATATCACAAATATAACAGAATGTAGAGGAATAAATATGTTCCTCTCATAATACAAAAAAAAGCTGTTGTATCAAGGACTTGTTTGGGTAGCTAAAAAGGCGGGAGCTAAAAATAGAACGTTTGAAAAACTGCACATCAAGCCGATTAAATAGGTACTCAGAGGGTGGACACTCTTTGAAACTTGGTGTCAAGCCTGGACAGGGCACTGCACAAGTCTTTCAGCTTGAAACTTTAAGAATAATGATCAAAAGTAGTGTATAGTTATAAATTAAGACCAGGAATTGCAATTGGCAATAGGTACAAAAGGGCCCATGACATTTTTTGGGTGATATGACAAGATGGACTGTTGCAAATTATCTGTTTTAATTAAAAAGTCGTGTTTTTAAGAATCAGTACAACTGATCTCTACTAAAAGAAGATACATGCCCAATATCATCCTGCCCTAAGAAATGTCTCAACTGAATGTTCTACAATGTTAAAGTTCAAAGCTGACACCAACTTTCAGAGAGTTTTTCACTTTTATCAATAATGCACAGCATTTCTGTAATGAGGAGGCTGGGATGGTCACGTTGAAAGACAGAAAGTATAACTTAACTGAAAATCTAAAATATTTACATGCATCATATGTATGAGTGCAATTATATGGGCAACCCAAGAAGCAAATACTTTTCAATAAACTGTCACTCAGAATTTTTCAAACCAATTGTGTTCTGATATCGTTTGAAGGCACAATTCTACATCGTACGAAGTACAGTAAACCATGATTGTAAACTGTTGTGATTAATTGAAAAATTTCAAGAAAAAAAATGTACCTGAAGGCTCATTCTCAAGCAAGAGTCATATCAGTGCACGTGACCTGATTCCAACTCCTTACGATGCTCATAACTTTCAAGCACAGGACTTCCAAAATTACAGGATACACAGTTCCGTTACGACAGATTGATGAATCATGATTGGACTTCATTTATTAACAGAGATTTCTTTATATTGAGAGTTTTGAAAAACACTTGAAATGTATTAAATGGGAACGCATTGAACTTGGGAAAAGCTAAAGATGTGCTGGATCAAGTCCTAGCTGAAACTACCTAAGACTGTTCACTGTCGCTACTAGCTGGAAGTTTCGCACTCTCTTGAAGGTTGATTCTTACTGAAAATAATTTTCACTGACAGCATTCAAATGTACAAGAGGCCGAGTTGAGCAGAACATTTACCAAAAACTCAAACTCTATGCAACAATTTTTGAATATATTGCATCTCTAGAATAGAAAAATGATTTATGTAAGTCCCTTCAAGAATACTATCTCTTGATAGTCCTACTTCAAATAATTTGGATCTCTAATGTTAAATGACGTCCAATCACAATTAATAAATTCAATATCTCACACGGCACCAATATAGCCTTTGTAATTACACTACTCCTCATTGCTCAAAGCACACAGCCATACTAAACATTTGTATGATAACTGATTTGCGCTCATACCACCACACTTGCTTAAAATAATGAAATAATGATGATGGTCAAATTTGAAAATAGCAGGTGCCTTATGTACAATAGAATTCATTTTCCCTGATTTAAACTTACATCACACACATCGATCACATTATGTCAATCACGATACGTCTTCTGGCCACTGGGGTGAATGAGTACGGATATCTTACTTATTTCCTTGTAACAGTGTTCAACATTTATATTTAAGTACAAAAAATAACTAAAGAACTACCGAGGTTGTACGGAGAGTACACGATACAAAAGTAAAAAGCAATGAGTTATCGATATCACTTATAAGTCATTTAAATAAACATAAATATACATCAATAACCGTGCAAATTACAACTACAAAAAATAGAAAGAGGGTCACAACATGCAATCTTATGTAAGAATCACTCTAAGAAAGATAAGTTAAAGCACAGACAACAAAATATTGTAATACAAACGTTAGTAGGACATTAGTAAAATTGTTCTCCTAAATTAACAAACCTACCAAACAGTGAAGTTAAGAGACAATTTTTCAAAAGGCTCTTTAAAATTTGACAACTGATTTTTACCAAAAATTATTGGTTATTGATGCATAATTCATTCAAAATACGAAAAAATGGGCCAAAATCAACTTCATGGATTTGAATGTGCACAGAAATTTACTGTATGATTGTGTTTTCAGGGCTTGTTAGAATTTTTAATTAGAGCACGGTAATGAAACCTACCATATGGCGTTTTACAATCTCATTCAATGGTGACACTTTCAATGCTTTGAAATAGATTCATACACTGGGCTCGAGTTGCTCGTTCAGTACCTACTCCATTTAAAGGGCGAAAAAAACTTATTCATGTTTAAAAAATTTTCATTGGAATTACTTTTTAGAACTTTAAAACATTAATGCATCACAATAATTGGAAGATTAAAAAAAAAGGAACAGACAAAAAAAATCTAAGTTTTGATACAGATCGCAGAGGAAAACTAACTTACATTGCAAAAGCCACTCAATGATAGATACTTCAATACTTGCAAACAACAACAATTTAAATTCTGCAAGTAAAGTTTTCATTGCCAGATAATTGGATGAAAGGGTCAAAATATGGCTGCAACACTTAGTAGAAGGTTGAGAAATCATTTTTCTGACATAATAGGAAAATTTCCACATTCTTTTGTTCTTTAGCTTTCCAGAAAAGAAAAATACCATGAAATTAATTTTGGCTCCATATAAAGTTAACACAGACATCCTTATCATAATTACAGAAATATAGAACCAAAATATGACTGCAGAGCAGCTAGATGAAAGAACGGAAAAAGAAAGAAAAAGAAGAAGAATCAGAAAATTAATGACGTTGAAACTTCTGAGTCCGAGACTGTTACTTTATTGTCTTTGATTGAAAACCAAAATACTTAGTTGCTTAAAGAGATAAAGAAACCAGTGAATAAAAGAAGAAGTACCTATGACGCAACCCAGACGCTTTTGACATCAACCAAGATGAGGTGATCATCACGTAAATGGATTTAATAAGGTAAAAAATATAAAAAGAGGAGTGTAAATAATCAATGCAAGAGTGCCTTCTTACATTTGTAAAAAAATGATAATAATCAAATAAAAGAATATAAATAAATAGATAAATAATTATATCCTTTTTTCAAAAGCAGGAATGAAGTACCTCATTATTTGGCAAGAGGCAAGGTTATGAATTAACTTCATACGAGTCAAAGAGGAATATTCAAGCAGGCTCCTCTCCAATACCACCATTATAAAAAGTCAAATTTTCTATTTTAAAAAGGAAAACTTATTCTTTTGTTTTCCCTAGACTTTGAGTGATCTCTAAAAGAAGTTAACCTTGTGATACGTTCTATTCAAAATTACACTAGATCTGCTGCACACAGGAGATGGAGAAAGATGAATGACCTTCGAGTAGGTAAGAAAAACCCCACAACAATCACAATGTTCAAATTGGGTTTTTTGACAATTCTCTCTGAACAAACCTCGTTGCCAACAGCAGAGAAAAAAGTGGAAAATTTGAGAATGCTGATACGAACTATGGAAAATGTGCGTTGAGGAGTAGATTTCAAAATTTTTGAACAAGCCCATCATGATTCTGAGGTGGTGTCTCCTATGGGAAGTCTTATAATTCATCTGTTTCTTATACGCAACAGATTCCCTTACAAGGTGGACATGCTTCAATGGCTGTATTTTGTTCTGCAGGAATTCATTCAGAGAGAATAACACTTTTCTTTTTTTAAACTTAGTTTAGATAATATTACCGACAAATCCAGAGTGAGTTCAGCACTGCTTGCTGTCATGAGCTTCCTCTTATATTTCTGAGGTATTCAGAGTAAAAGAGTAAGTAAGTGACCTAAGTTTGGGGCATTGATGTCAGAACACAGCCGTTTCGAGGAGACAATGGTTGCAAATATTGATTAACCTCGGATGTAAAATGAAAGTGTAGAAAACAAATTCATTTTATCATTTTATAGGAATAATTACGAAGCATTTCCAAGAATTACAACTGAGCTCTTCACCACTACACACTAAAAATTTACCATTTTGGCTGGATCATTCAACGTTGTTCTCTTGGAACTTACAATTGAAGAGACGAACACAGTCTCTTCAAATTAACTATTCACACTGGTTATTTGGCGAGTTCCTAATTTAATGGATGAAATTTAACCTGGCTGCTAGTTTGCTCTATTATACAGGGATACTTTTATTTGACCTTCCTCTGGAGTAAAGACCTTCAGCATTCCAACCAAATAGTCTTTGCTTCGTCACTAAGGGACTAGCTTTTTTATTTTCTCTTTCTTATTTTATTTATAATTTTAAACAACTTCTCCTCTTGCCTAATTTGGTATTTCAAAAAAAAAAAGGGAAAAAGAGATACTGACCTAATGTTTTAAAACGGAAAAATAAAAAGTCTTGAAGGGGATAATATTCAATGGACAAAAGCTGACCATTTATACTTATAAGGAAGAATATATAGATTAAGTAAAGTAATATTCAATTAAGTTCTGCGGAACTTTTCAAAATAAGAGATAGAACATACTATTTTCTTTCTTCTGATCACAATGCCACCTGCTGCGAGATTAACTGGTACAATAATAGAGGTACTCTCTGATAAATTCTTTTTTAAATGATAAATTGTATGAATTCTTTTTCTTTTGTAATAAATATACTTTCTGAACAATAAATCTGCATTTATTTTTTCTTTTAAAAAAATATAACTTTCCCAAAATAATGTTTGAATAATATCCATTTTTGTACACAAAAATAACACTCAGCATGAATGGGAAAATATAAATAAACGAAAAGAAAAGAAAAAAACCATTTGATGAATAATTTTTCATACTGTACATCGTGAGGTCAATGAGTAACAACCAGTTTTAAAAAAATAAATTGATTAATTTACAAGCGCTAGGGTTCATACTCCAGATATAAACCAACTTTTATTCATACAATACACAACATTGTTTTTACTCTGCAGAAACATAGGAAGCTAATTTCATCTTTTTTTTACAGGTACCAATTTCAGAGAAATGAAGTAAATGAAGTAATCAGCTTGGTTACAATCTCATCGGTCAGAATTTAAGGATAGATTATCCACATGTAATGTGTGAATGATACGCCTGTAATGACTGGTTGATGAAAAGATTATAAGGATAAAAAACAACTCTATGAAAAATAATCACTTCATATTTCCTCAACAGCCGATTTTTTTCCAACCTTTGTTGTAACTGAGTATGAGTAACACTTACCCTCTTTGACAGAAATATTTTGAAACATAAGAGTCAGTGTTAAGTCAATAATTTTAGATAATGATACCTGCTGAGTGTGACTCAAATGCAAAAAATTTACGATTTGGACACAGGTTTTGAAAAATATACAAAACTTCAAGACAGGCAGTGTTATTGCTGGACTAAAAGAAATAATTTACCACACTTTTACAAGTATTAAAGAAATGGTCATAGACTAAGAATTAGAAATCATACAGTCAGAGAAAATAATAGATGAAAAGAGAAAAATGTATGCAACACAACAATCTGGGAGTTATGACGAAAGTAATTCCATCATATGTAGACAGTACACTGTACGAATGCATTCATTGCACACAACAAAATATGAAACCTTGAGTTGTTAATAATCAGTAGGCTTTTAAAGTTACCTACTGATAAAAGGAATGCCAGAGAATTTTAAATGTTATTTAGATGCAAGGTACATATTGATTTCTATGTTACTACGCAGCCCTTCAGAATACACACTCACCACAAAATGAAAAATTGAAATTGACTCTTGAAAAAATCAAAGTTACTGATCATTCGGAAGAGAAAAAAAACAAAAATTTTGCACATAATGAAATCAATTATCCAGGATATGAGTCGCTTAGGATGGATTGATTCTTCACATTAGTCAGCAGCTTGAAAGTTTTTACGAAGTACTTACGAAAGAAAAAAAAACAAAAAAATCGTGAACGTATAATACAAAATTGCAAAAAGAACCTTAAAAGAATTTTTATCACAGCAATTTTTTTCCTCAAGATATAATATTCCTGCTCCTGGACATGATGCTAACTTCTGCTGGTCTTTCATTATACTTTTAAAATGAGCTTCAAAATAGAAAGAAAAACTTTAGAGCTAAGCTCAAATGAATCAGTGAGAACAAAAACACACCAACTCCAAAAAATGAAAATAATCGAGACACACACAAAACTGCATAGTAGGTGAAGAAGTTAGTCTAAGAAAAAGATTTTTGGTGCCTAAAAGCAAGTACTTCAGGACACTTTAAATGTCCAAGTTAGAACAGATACTGTAACTTCGATGACCTTTATGAAAATTGTCTGTCCTTGGTGAAAAGTGAGCATTTTCAAGTTACCGAGTTGGGGTGTTTTTGTTCTCACTGATTCAAATCTGAGTCGACGTGAGATCAGATTCGTTCATATTGTGTGGGTTTTGATAAAATTGAGAGAAAAACCAGCAATGTTAAAAAATCATGTGCCAGGGAACAGTTCAGAGGTCAAGTTGATGGCATAAAAATTTATAAACAAAATTTTCACAGAGGATACTCCGAGCGTTGAATACTTAAGAGACATGAACGTTTATAAAATTGATAGGTGTAATTACAAAGACATTAAACTACTGAAAAATCTAGCCGCATATTTAAATTTTAAAATGATCCAATATTCAATTCATAGAATTTTTAAAATCCTCGTACATCTGTTTGACAAGTCATGTGGAATACTTTCCATTACGTGGTGTTCAGAATAAGAAATCAGCCTACTAAGTGATGATTCCTTTAATTTGTTCCTAAGTTGTTGGTTTATTAAACCAAAAATGCAAATGGTCATTACTAAAATTTAATCAGCATTAAATTGGCAATGCATTTTTATTTCATTGTAATTATATGCATAAAAATAAAAGTAGTCAGAGCAGAGGGACTTGTTTAAAAGATAGAATAAACAATATATCCTTTGAGAAACAAAAAGGAGCAGATCAAAAATTTGGATGGCTGAACTATTATTCAGGGAAAAAATTTCTACAGAAATATTCTTGGTAATTGCAGCATATTTTTAAAAAAAACTCAATTCGTGAGATTTCAAAACTTCAAAAACAGATACCTACATCTTGTGAAAAACGGTTCTATTTTAATTTCCACAAATTTTTCGAAAAACTTTTTTTAAAGCCACAGATAAAAATTCAGACGTGATGTAATTAAGGAATTATATGTTTTGTTAAAGAACTCTGGCATTCAAGAGATGATGCCACTGGACTTTTGTTCTTAGGTGAATTGTCACACCTAAAAATGCTTTAACTACTAAAATTATTTTTTGTACTTTAGAAAAGGTTAATGTGAAGAGATCATAAGAACTTTATTTTTTTTCTTTGCTTTGTCCATATTAATTGCAGAAAAACCACATGCACTCGTGGATAGACCATACAAGCTTGACTTGAGAGATTTCTTTTTTCCACAAAGATTTGTAAGGTACCTTCAATCAAATGCGACAAATTTAGACATCATTTTTTAATTATGAGCCCAGTAAATCGAAAAATATCATGGACATCCATTGTAGAGAGAAAAAAAAGCTGATCAAATGGATTATGTGGCAAATTAATTGACAAAAATAAAAACCTTACAGAGAAGACTCAGAAAAAGGAAGCGAAGAGAGGATCATCATTGTGAAGATCGCTTGAGACCGTAACAGATACACACAAATTCTATACATACCATACGCACATGAATCCTAAGAGATATAACATACTCGTCAAACGATGAAAATTACACAGAGAAGTCAAACGAGAAAAAAAGAGAAAAAGGAGAAATTAAGAAAAAATTACACAGAAAAGATCAAATTCTTAAATGATACTTATCACAAAATAGAAATGAAAAACTAATGCATGCAGCACTCGACGATGAGAGCTGCAAGATTTCATTTTGGAGGCGAGTGATGGATGAAAACCACAGAGCCAATGGCAAACCGCAGCCATGGCTAGTGATTATTGGTGATTGGCTCGCTATCCCAGCCATTTTCTTTTATCATGTGAGCCAATTCGATGATATATTTACCTTCTTTATACTTTTGACTTGATTCAAATGCATGCTCCTGAAATGAAAAACAAAAAGGGAATTCATGGTTAAAGGTTATTCTACTAAAGTACAGTTCATCTGATAATTCTGGCAGGCAAAGATTACATGAGGTGTTCCAAAAGTACTTAGCACTTCTTGCATACAGCAAGTTGTAAGAGTTATCAAACTGCAGTTAGCACGAAGTTCTAGACTGAATCCTCAGGTTTGAAAGAGGACCCTAAGCAGCTCTTAGGTTGAAAATTCAAGCTCATAGCTTGAAATTGAAAAGGACTTCAAGATGACATGCAAACATTAACCTTGGCATTTTTTAAGCACTATAGCTGAACAAAAATCAAAACTTTTACGGAGACAAGAATGCAACAGAATGAAATTGGCAAATAAAGAGTGGGTGCAAGTGGCAACAGTGTTAAGCTTGAGACAAGTTGCCATGGAAACATCTAATTGTAATAGGTCTCACGTGTTGACACGCAAGCTCAGTCTGTCAAATCAGAATTTGTACTTGTGCGGCATTCCTCTTGCCCACAAAGAAGGCTGTTTTACAGAAAGAGCAATTTTTCATTAATTGACTATTTTCACGCGTTTTGGTGAAAGACAAAGAGTGCACTAACATGAGAAATACCCCCATGACTACAAATAATTTTGGTCTGATAGACTGAGCTTGCGTGCCAGCATGTCAGTTTTTGTGGTTGGTCTCCATGGCAACTTTTCCTGAGCATTACACAGTTGCCCCTCGCACACTTTCTAATGGCATCTTTATTCCATTACACTCTTTTCTTTATGAAACTTCGGAATTTTTCGACATTTTCCTGTATTTTTTATGTTCTCTGTGTTCTAATATTAGTAGCTCAAATTTTAGTATTTGTAGATCCCTTTTCCTATGGATAATTACGATTGGCAACAGCATCAGATGCTGACTTTAAACGTATTGTTTCGAATTTTTAGACAGTGTTAGAAACTAGCGACAGACAGGAGATCGGAACACTGTAGATTGAAAAAGTCTTAAAAACATGTTTTATTGTCCTAGATCACACAGTCATGTGTCTCCTGACTCCAGTTCAAAAGTTAGACAGAACTTCACTTGGGGATGCTGCCAGACGCCAGGACCAAACATGGCATGTCATGACCAAAAAGCACCTTCATCTCTAATATGTTTATTAAAAATTAAAAATTAGATTCTAAAATAAGGAAAACAAAGAAAGTTTCTTACATATTTCCAGCCGAGAGTTGTCTTGCAACACTCGCAGTAAATGTCTGCGACTGCATGGAGACCAGTTAAAAGGACTCTTTCTTCTGCAGGCCCACAGCCCACATTAACTCTGTTGAAAGAAAAAAAAAAGTAAATAAATTCATCGATTCGCATCCTGCATATTGCAAACCAGAATGTTGAGTTAGAAATTGAGTTAGAATGGCGAACTGAGTGGAATCTTGACATCCCCTTGATCAATTCATTGAGTAGAATTTCTGCACACCTTTGTGAAAAAATTTTTAGAACTTGATCTAATGTTTGCAATACATTATGCAGCTTATGCAGAATTATGACAGCATTTATAATCCTCAAATTCGCAAAACACAAGTGTAACTGGATTGCATTTTGCAAAACGGAACCAGGAGCATTGCAATGTTGCTAAGATTGTGCAACTTCTTTTGTCTCGGAAGAAAACACTGATTATTTATAAACAGTTTCTGTTTTAATCGCTAAAAACTGTAAATTTAGGACAAAAATTACCATGTAAATTCATATTTTTTCAGGGTTTCAATCATTTTATTGCAATGGATGAAGTTGCACAATCTCAGCAACATTGCAATGCTCCTGGTTCCTTTTTGCAAAATGCAATCCAACTGATGTAAAAATGCTTTTACAAAATAAATGTCTAATTTTGTGAGTAATTTGAGGTGTACGATAATTTTTTTTCTTTTTCTGAAGAATGGTTTAAAAATATTGGTGACTTACACAGAGTTAAAAAGATACGCTCTCCCTTGACTGCCTTGGAACGACTGTAACAAAAAAATAAAACAAAATGTTAGAGACTTGACTTGAAGAACGATGATTTTGAAAATTCTAAAAACAAACACAGAATCCGCAAAATGAAGGTTAATACATGTGCTAATTTTAAAATTTATGGATTTTTTTCCTTTTAGAGATAAAATAATCTATACTCGGAAAATGGCATCACATGGGAGTTTGTTAGAGGGAAGAAAGCCAGCCAACAGCTCAACGTTGAGAAATAAATATCTGTTCGTGCATTGCGATGGATGTTGGCCTAATCTCCCATTTGAAGGCGCAGCGCATCTCGTGGAATAATTCACGTCAAAGTATCAAACTGACCAACGAATTAAGAGGACTTCTTAATCAAACTGATGTTTTAGTCAAGTTCAAATGTCAACAATGTGATGGCAGACGTGACTCAAAAAATAGAAAATGAAGCAAAAGAGAATTACATCCTGTGCTTGGGTCGATGAAAGTTCCAGCTAATTGGCAAATTTTTAGATAATTACACCCTGCGGCTTGGGTAGGCAAATTATTGCAGCGCGAATTGCGATGCAAGTGGAGTACCTATATACGGGAGAGTATTGCCATCTCAATCCTTTCACAACAGAAAAAGTGTTCCGCTCTCTGATTAGTCAGTTATCATGAAGCCCCAAAGTTGGCCCAATGTAAACAAACAAGATGGCAACAAAGTTCTACAAAGTTGAAGAGTCCCTTTAAAGTTCTAGACATGATTTTGGATGTGATGGAAATTTTTTTAAATCCAACTTCTGAATTGTTCGGACCAAACTTTGATGGATACTTTTACCGAATATTAACCTTTGAGTGTGATTATCATTCATTTCTCAGCCGATAGTGCGTGTTCCTCTGGGTCAGTTTGTTTACATTGGGCCAACTTCGGAGCTGTATGATACCCTGAAACTGATGAACCAATCAGAGAGCGGTACAAAGATAGCTGTTCTCTCCCGTTTACAGGCACTCTAGATGCAAGAACTCTAAAATAAAATGAAGTCAATGTTGTTGCTATCACTGATACCCTCCTTCCAAGACGTGCTCGTAAACTAGAGCCACTTTTTATTCCATTGCGCTCTTCTCACGTAATTTTAAATTCAAGGACAAACACATCGAACTCCTCAATAAAATAAAAGTGCAGAACTCATTCCAGATGAGCAGGGTGTCTACTAAAACAGGCTGGCCAAAAATCAGTACTTTTCCGGTACTTTTTCAGTACATTCCCAAGAAATTCAGTACCTCTTCAACAGAAAAATTCAGTACTTTTTCAGTACCTCCAATTGACGAGATTCGAAAAATTTCAAAAATTTGAATTTACCGCTCAGGTTGCGACGAAAATGACAAAAAAATGGAAAAATTCCGGACCTACTTGCGGAATTCCCGCACTTTATCAGTGCTCCCGGGCCGCCCTTAAAAAATCAGCACTATTTCCGGATTTTCCGAAAATTCCGGACTTGTAGACACCCTGAGGAGTGAGGAGATTGAGTTCCAGTTGTATGAAATTGCGTTGTTTGTTTTTTTAAAAAAACCGGCAACACTGCATGAAGCGAGCGCGAGCGGGTGCGAGTGCTGGTCCCGTCGAAGCAGCTGCGTTTTCAGCTGACCCAATTCGGTACCGCTAATGCCATCATTTTGTGATGCAACTCAGACGGGAAGAGTCAACTCAAGTAAACAAAGGGATATAGCATCGGTCAGGAAAATGGGTCAAATGGCTCATGGTGATCAATTCAAACACGCAAACAAAAAAAAACCAACAAACTTAAACAAACAAACTAAATGATATGAGAGAAACAAAAACAAAACCAAAAAAAATGCAGGGAGAGAGAACAAAGTGACTGGAGACTCTGGAGAGAAAATTCCAATATGGAGGAGAGGGGAATTAAGAAGACGAGCGAGAAAAAAAAAGAATTCTATCTCTTGAAAAAATGTGATGGTACTAGGCGCTTTATTGGACTGCATTTAGCAGAAAGGAACCAAGCAACATCAGGTACAGCAAAATTTGACTGGGCAATTCAATGTTTTACCTACAAGAGAACGTTTGAGCGGATTCCTTTGAAAATTTTAGGGAATTTGCCTCGTGCTGTGCAGAAAATTCACTGAAATTTGCACAAAAATCCGCACTTTCGTTTTCATGAAAAAAATTCAAGAGTCCGATTGAATTTGGCAGGTGCTGATATGGCTCCTTTCTGGTTCCTTCTTAGTTCCTTCCTGCTTAACGCGGGCCAATTGCCACTACCGAACGGTCATGAGACGTTAACCAACCGTGGAGCTGAATGCTACTAAAACGTGGCAATCATGAGTTTCGGAACAAAAAAATAACGCTCATAAAATCAGTGGTTCCAACTTGAGGTATTCATGAGGATATCCTAACGCCACTCGCTACAGCGGATACGCTTTAACGAAACATCTACCCTTAGCACGAATGACTACTTCCTTGCCTTTGTTCGAATTTAAAAGGAAATTAAAAACTTGGCATCTTTGTCCTAGATAGATATTAAAGCTTTGCCCGGGGCGAGTAAGAGGCTGCTGATAAGGAAAGGAAATTTAATGACTGGCCACACGAAAAGCAGCGATCACTGTGAGAAGAAAGACATCGCATGTCTTTCGTCGAGAGTCCATGAATATTAAGATGGAAAAAAGTTACAGCTCGAATGAAACGAACCTTTTCCTCCTTTTCCTTCTCGCCTTTCTCCTTTTAGCAGGAATGAGGGATGCAGAATGTGGCCCTCTCTGCCCGCTGGTTTCCTAAGTATAGCACCTGTAGATTTGTGATTTTCCGCCAAATACCGATAAAAAGGGTGTCTAGTTTTTTTTAGTTTCGGGAAATCCTGATGAAATCCTGATTTTTGACTGCTAAATCCTGATTTCATAATTTTTCCGAATCCTGAGCAAATCCTGATTTTTTGCGAAGAAAAATTAACGGGCGGATAACGGATACTAACGGAAAATAAGCGAACGGCCGACTTTTCTCAAATCCTGATTTTACGGCCGATTTTTCCTCAAATCCTGATGAAATCGGGATTAAATCCTGATTGACCTCAAATCCTGATAGAATCGGGAAAATCCTGATGCTTGACACCCTGACAAATTGAAGATCTAATTGATTCTTCACTACTAAATCAAATCGCGGTATCAACCGGTTTGATCTCAAGCAGTTTTTAAAACCCTTTCGAGTAATGAAAAGTGACAAAAGATTGAAACAATCCGTTTCCAGGATTCCAAACATTCTACTGGTTTAAGCTCTTCGAGAGGCATATTATATTATCAAGATTTTTTTGAGGAAATTCACACTCACAATGACAAGGTCTTAATTGTACTTGATGATCCTTATTTCATAATTTGAATTTGAAACACACAGAATGTAGCCCTCTCTGTCCGCTTGTTTCCCTATTTTTTTGTTTCCCGGACGGAGGAGCGTAATCCCATTCCAAAGTTGCCAAATTGACTCAAACAATTTAGTTTTCTTACAAAAATGTAAATGCCCAATTTTTGTCTAACGTTTTTCTGATTTTCACAGGAGATCAGAGGAAAAATTAGTGAACTTTTCAAGTAGAGATACCAAATATTCTTCTGGTAAAAACGCAATTTACGAGGGGAAATTCGGCAACATCGAAACGTATAGTTATGTTCTTTCGTGAGGGAAACTTCGAATTATAGCACATAGAGCTGCGATTTTCCACCGTTATAATTCACGATGATACGGTCTTAGATCCCATTTCTGACACCCTCGATCTACCAGACACAAGACAAAAATAATTATTCAAAGTTCTTCCCCTTCCCCCCTTCTTCGGGGGGGGGGGCGAAGGGTTTATTGTTAATTGTTTTACAATCATCTGCTGAAAATGAACGTTCATCGCGTAACGGCATATCTACGGACACACGAGACAATGGACGCTCAGACTAATTCATTGATTGTTTTCTTCAACATTAATACGCTCTGTCCTATTAGAAAGATAATATTCCATTCAAAAAAATGTCTGCGTTGCGTATCACCAAAAACTAATTGGCACATTTATGAATGACCTCGTGCGTCGCCTCCAGGCATGCTTCAGTTTCTCTTACTTGGATTGAGGGGCTTGGAGGACAAGGCGCATAAATGGAGTTTTTGAAAACATTGAGATATTCATGAGCTCAACTAAAACTAGTTCGAAAGTATATTCTGACAAAAATTCACATCTAAAATTTACTTTAACGCATCACTTTGAAGCATCAAAAAGTGAGTTCAAACCTCTTTTCCGCTAGCTCTCTGTAAGTTTGAAACTTTAACCGCGTATTTCTTGAAATAGCAAAAACTGCACTTATGCGCCTTGTCTCCAAGCCTCTCGATTAGTCGATGTTGAAACCTACGTTCGATTTCAACATCGATCGACTCGAATGCGTGATTCGAGTTCGTCGATTATACCCAATATTACTTCGAGTGCAGAACTTGCCCCACAATAAAAAATATATTAATTTGATTCGCACAAAAACAAAAATTAATGGCTCCATTTCCCGTAGCAAAGCTCCAGACCGGTGCGGTGAGGGTGAACAATTTCTTCTGAACAGCGATTGAGGAATATTCAAACAACTTGCATAAATTAATATTTTTATGAATACTAGAAGTTTCCGCTGAGTTTTTCCGATAACTTTCTTCTCTTTAAAAAATAAAATTCCAGAGGAGGAAACTCGCTGCGAAGCGCTTGAATAAACAGCCTTCACAAGAGGAGGCCAAGGACCCAAACTTGTAGGTGGATGAGGGAGCGATGTCCGAATGAATGTAATTTTCAGTTCAATGAGACACAGACAATGAGCTCTGGTTCGGTGGTTTGGGAGTCCCGAATTGCAAAGTGACGCGGTAAATGAGCACAATATTTTATTTCCAAACGTTGAAGTGACGAAAAACCCTCCGTTTTCACACAAGCCGCCAACTCTGGGCTGGCAGGTGATGGTCTGGGTAAGGGTCAATGACGTTAGAATCGGGGAATCAAAATTCACTTTTTTTTATTCCCTGTGTATT